GCCCGCAGTGCTGAGGCTGAGAAGCCTTGCTTCGCGGGCCGGTGGAGCAGGGAGCTACAGCATCCTCCCGGAGGGGGCAGTCCCCGTGCCCACTGCAGCGGGAGGGCACAATGCTTCATGGGTCACGACTTCTTTCTCTCTTCACAGGTCCTTCATTTTGAAAATGTCAAAGATGTGCCCTTTGGGTTTCAAACAGTGACGTCGGACGTAAACAAACTTAGCTCCTTCTACTCGCTGAAACTAATCAAACGGCTCTATGTGGACAAATCTTTGAATCCATCTACAGTAAGTGGGCCAGTGCCCTTAGCAAGATTTAGCTTTCCTCCAGGTCGGCACCGTCGTATGGTCAGGCTCATAGTTTTGTCTTGTTTTTTCTTTTCCTGGTAAAACTCACCTCTAGGATGCTCATTTATGATTTGAAGCTAATTACAGATAAATCAGTCCTAGCGGAAGGGTGAATGTAGCAGGATTCAGTTGCAGTCACATCTTCTGGCTCCACATATGGAGCAGCTCGCGGGCCTCCCCCTTAGCTTCCTTTCTCAGAGAGACGGAGAAAGGGGCCGTCAGAAATGCACCTCCACAGATGCAAGGCTGCCTGGGATTCCCACCTTTCTCCTTAAATAGCAGGGCACCCGACCTGGGGCAACTTTTTGGGTTCTCCACCTCATTGTTTGTGAATACATTTTCCTGGTTTTCTCAAAAGCAATAGGAAAAATAATAGTAACCGTATGAATCAATAGTTTTCATCAGTCACAAATTGTTTTTGTTTTACTAGGCTGGCTGATCATGAGGGTGCTTAAACTGATAGTTCTGGGTGTTTAATTTCAGCCATTTCTTGATGGAATCATAAAGAACACGATGTAACCCTTAACTTTGATCCTAGAGTATAACATAATATTTTTTAAAAATATGTTTTTTATTGACTTTAGAAAGAGAGGAAGGAAGAGGGAGAGAGAGATAGAAACATCGATGAGAAACATTGGTCGGCTGCCTCCTGCACGCCCCCTACTGGGGATCGAGCCAACAGCCCCGGGCGTGTACCCTGAGCAGGAATGGGACCTACGACCTCTGGGGAAAATTTCCAACCAACTGAGCCACACTGACTGGGTTAACATAATATTTTAAAAATCTGTATTTGAAACACATAGCCAATATCCTAGACTACAAAGAAGTTCGTTCTCTATGTTAGTAATACAGAGTTGATTCAATTTTTGCTTGGATGGTCAGAATTTTAAGCTTTCCAAATCTAAAAGGTAGACTACCGATTAAATATTTTACCCCAGCTTTATTACTTGCTGCAGTAGCTGTTTGTTTTTCTGGTTGAGATTTCTTGAGAACGTTGGTCACTCACATTGCTGTGAGTTTATTCTTGTTGTTTGAAGACGCATATACACAGCCATTTTTCTTCCAACAATCACTCAAGGAAGTGAAATAAAATATTGAGTTGTGACCTAAGTAGAGAAAAAATTTAAAAGTTCCTCAGGTGGTCCTTAAGGAGATGCTTAATCCATTTTGTTGCTGGCAGTGAAGATGGTGGAGGCCATTAGTCTTGCTGAGGCTCCAATGTTCTTAGGTGGTCCCCGCTCTCTCAGTCAAGCTGAAGGAGCCCTGTGTTAGGACATTTAATCAGCTATGTTTAATTTGGTTGAACTTCTATTCAACATTTGAAATTATTTCAACCAAACTAGGAATTGCAAGGAATTTTATTTTAAGACTGTTTTCCATGCTCCTGTTGGTTGTATGGCACCTGCAAATGTACTGGGCTTAGTACAGACAGGTGTGGTATGAGGAGGGCCGCCTGCAGAACTACCTGAGTGTTAAAATGCAAGTTCCTGGCTTCAGATCACTTGAACCAAAATCGATAAGGATGAGATTTAGGGTTTTGCATTTCAACAAGTATTGGGATCACTGCTATGTTCTCTATAGCACTGCTTCAAACTTAATGTGCATCTTGATAAGATGCATGTTCTGGTTCGGTAGGTGTGGCGGCTCTGAGATTCTGCACTGCCAACAAGATTCCAGATGATGAGGCTTTTGGTCCTTGGACCACACTTTGAGTAGCGAGAGTCTACAGAATATTTATTTCAGTGAGAATAAGAGTTTTCTGCTCATAAAGTTCTCTTTTCTGTCCATTTCTTCTATTCTAAGACACATATATGTATATACATTTTAATGTTTCTGAAATCACATTTGATGAATGCATTTAATAATTGATATTGTTTTAGAATTAAAGGAATGAAACATTCAGTACAAAGATAATTCATTGATTTCTCCATGAAGTTTCAATTTCTCCATGAGGTTTACTGAATAGTTCTGATTTTGAAAGTGTGTTCATAGCAATAGACACTTAGAAGTCCTTTTGTTAGCACTGTGTAGCAACGTGGTGGTTTGACTACAGACTGGGTGTACTTTGTGATTTCATGAGTGGGCTCCTTTTCAGGAGTTCATCGGCTCAACGAAGAGACCCTATGCAAAGGAGATGGAAACTGTTGACTTCAAAGATAAATTGGAAGAAACGAAAGGTCAGATCAACAACTCAATTAAGGATCTCACAGACGGCAAGTATCTCTCCCTATCCTGCGCCCTTCCTTCTTCTCATGAATCTTTCTGCCAAGCCAAAAACTGAACACCTGGAGGAGTCCTGAGATGTTTTCAGTACAGAAACTAAATTCTTGCCCATCGAGCCATTTCAACAACTTAGATTTCTGGGCCTTTCCGCCATCATATCGTTTGACAGAAATTCCCGGTGTTCCAGTTTTACTTAGTCTACTTGCCTTGCTCTCCACCTAGCTGTCCCGCATCCTCCGGGAACCTCAGCCCTGCCTCTAACAAGTCTCGCTTTGGGCAAGTCCTGAGTCCGGTTTTTCTAATCTGGACACGAAGGGCTTGGATTGTAACTTGATGATTCCTGAGGACACTTTTAGCTCAAACATCTACAAGTTTATTAAGGAGAAAGGGATAGTCTTAGGTAATCAAATATTTGTATAGAAAAAAAATAAAACAAAACAAATCATAGTGGATGGAAACGTGTCCTCAGTCTCACAACTCCTAGAACCAATCAGTCCTCTAATAGTCCCTGGGTCTCCTCTCCAGCATCTACCTGGTCCTGCTCCAGGCTCAGTGCTTCCCTCAGGCCTCTCCTTTCCCTGAATCTTCCCTCCATTAAAATTCTGTGAGTCTTCCTTGGTAGAAAAGAATTGGAAGTAAGATGATTTTTGAGTGCAGATCAGGGTACATGTCTCCGTTCCCAGGAACATATTTATATTTACATAGGGAGGAACCTATTAGACACAGTGCTTTACTGTGAAGGCATGAATGGTAGTGATAGATTTTTCAGGCACCAGTGTAGTCTGGTGAGGGACACGCTTCTGGGGCAGGGACACACACTTCTTGTATGAATGGCCAGAGCTGCCCTGGCACTAGGAGGACTCAGGAATGATAGAGTCCACACCATAATTGCAGAGTGAGAACATGGAAAAAACATGCCTTGGAGTCTTCAAGACCTTAGATTCAAATTTAGACTGCCACCTATAAACTGAAGTGTTTGGATATAGAACCTCAGTTTACTGAACTGTAAAATGGGAAATATGTTATCTAATCTAATCTTAACATGTTGTTGTGAGGATGAACTTGAATAATGTGTGCTAACTGGTAATGTGTGACAGCCAAGATAAAGATGGTAACCAGAGACATGCGTGCACACACGCAAATGTATGCACACATAATATATTTGTTATTGGAGTGAAGTCCCTGTGCCTTCATATGTAGAGAAAAAACTGGTATAACATCAGGTTAAACACAGTTATCAGCAATATGCAGCTCCTGTTTAAATTGCTGTGTAACAGTTTTGCTTTTAGAATTTTTAAATAATAGTATTTTTCCTTTAGGGGCCTTTGTTTTAAAATCTTCATGAATTTAAGGTTTTTCCTGAGGGATCTAGTTCAGTGAGAAGACCTCTGAGTTTGGAATCAGGAGCTCGAGGTTTCAGCTGAAGCACTGCCACTCCCCCGCTCCCCTCTTCTCTGCCTTCGGGTTTCCTCACTGACACTGTTACATGTTCACGTGTCCAACATGTCTCAGCACTGGCAGCACAGTGACACGATTAGCAGGTCCCAGAGCAAAATGCAACTGTAGGGCCCTTTATTTAAATGTGTATTAATTTTAAGATGGTGACAGCTGAGCATTAAATCTGTGAAGGGTCCTTCACACATAGGTCACAGGCCCCTGAAGTGGGCCCTGAGATTAGGTAAATGAAAATCCTTTGCAAAAAACATTAGTACTATTCAAATACGAGGACTTGATTTCATTAGGGGGCTATCATGGCTGAACTGTTGCGCTGTTGGGGGTTTAAGCTCTGTGATAAGTACAATTGTGATGGAGCCAGCTGACCTTGGTGCGAACCAGCTGCCACTTGGGGAGGGGGCAGAGAGCCAAAGGTGAGGAGGAGAGCGCTGTCCTCGGTCAGACCTGCTTTCCAACTGAGTGAACTGGAAAGCTGCCCGGCCTCTCGGAGCCTCAGTCTCCTCCACTATAAAATGGGGACAAGGATCTTTGCCTTATGGGATCACAGTGAGAGACGCGAGCTGATCCAGGTGAAAATGCCAAGCACGTTCATGCATTTTCACTCCCGAGCACAGGCCTCGGGTCCTGATCCCACCTTCGCTCGAGTGTCATCTTGGGCGCGTGCATTACACCCCGCCTCGGCCTCATCTGTAAAAGGGGAGAGATGCACGATGCCCAGAAGGTGGCTGGCTCAGGGTGAGCCTCTGGTAGCTTGTGTCTTCTCCTCTCCTTTCCTTCCCCTCCGTCCCCCCTCCTCCTTCTCCCTGGGTGTCTTTTAAGTCCAGCTGTAAACTTGTCTTTTAAGGCAAGGTGTAAGGCAGAAAGAAGGCCTGCTGAAATGAGGGGGTCTGGCACTCAGACCCTCCCTGGTGCAGGGCGTGGCTCTAGCAAGTGTCACACCCGCAGTGAGTGGACCATCCTGTGCGTGGCAGGTGTGGTTGAGAATAACCCCGTGTGATCTGTGCTTTCTTAAAATCGTTTGCAGGCCACTTTGAGAACATTTTATCCAACAACCATGTAAATGACCAGACCAAAATCCTTGTGGTTAATGCTGCCTACTTCATTGGAAAGTGGATGAAGAAATTTCCTGAGTCAGAAACCAAAGAATGCCCTTTCCGGGTCAACAAGGTATGTGGGGCAGGGGGTCGGAGGGTCCCAGCTATAGATCCGAAAATGACAGCAACAGACGGGCGCGTGGGAGTTCACCCAGTGAGGGGAATGAAGGCCGGGGCGGTGTGCCTTCCCTGGGAGGGAAGAACCACGACCCAGAGCCTCTCACTCTTCCCAGAAGGTTCTCAGGGCCTGAGCTGAGCGAGGGCTCGTAGAGCTTGCAGCCCAGTGGGTAAAACTGGAAAACGGCAACAAATCTTCAGGACCGTTAGCAAGAAAGACAAAGAAACAAACCAAATCCTAACCTCAGAGGCCTCTGAATCATTCTGAAACCTGGGCCCTTTGAGAGTCTTGGTCCAAGTTAATACCCTCCTCTGGTCTGGTCCCCATCTGTTCATAGTGAAGTAAACAGTTCGGATATTTAAGCGTGTACGGTGAGTTGGGGCCCATGTTGGCTGTGAGGGAAAAGTCCCGCTTACTCCCTGGCGCTCTGGGCATCGTCACACGGATGAAAGAGAGACCTGTTTGCAGGGAAGCGTCACACAGGTGAAAGAGAAACCTGTTTGCAGGGAAGCGTTACACAGATGAAAGAGAAACCTGTTTGCAGGGAAGCCTCCTTAATGCCCCTGAGTCACTACCGGGGCCGTATGCATGTGAAAAAAATTCTCATGGATAGGCGAAGAGCCTCTTCTAGAAAGGAATCCAGAGACCCGAGACTGGAAAATCGGCCCATGTCATTAGTCTATGACGATGATGCGATTTGTCTCGTTGGACGGGATCTGACTTGCGCTCAGGATGCAGACCGAGTCCCATGCCCCAGGTAGCACAATCCCCGAAGGGAGCGCATTTACCCAGTAGCTCCCGTGACTTCGTTCTAGCTTTCAAGTTTCTCCCAGCACTGTGGGTACCTAGCATTCATCACTTTTGTTTTTGCCAAATATTATAATGGCACCTTCTTAACGCTACCACCCAGGAAGAAAAGGCCTTCCAGATAACGATTTATACCTGGGTTAGCTGGACTGGGGTTTGGTACTTTTTCTTTGTACCCAGAGAATTTTGTTTTCATTACCAACAAGTGCACTTTTCATAGTGAAATCTAATTATTTATACTTAGCTAGATCCGTCCTGAGTGCATGGGCTTTGTAAAGGCAGGAATAATGCCTGATTCATCTTGGTTTCTATAACTCCTGGCCCAGCCCCTGGTACATTAGCAGGTGCTCAGCAAATGTTTGTTGAATGAATGACTCATTCCTAAGGGTCAGTTTCAATAAACAGCCAAAGGCAGAGCAAGCCTGACTGGCCTTTGGGACCACCACGGGTCTTTATACAAGATCCATTGGGCATTTTCACTGGGAGAGGACAATCATGGCAGAGAGGGCTGCTTACCTCTTCAAAATATCCGAGCGCCCAAGGGAGGGAGCCCAGCCCTTCCTCCACTTCCTCTATAATGCAGGGTCATTACTTTTCCTCTGTTTCCCTTGACTGGCTTTTGTCAGCCCCTGAATTTTTTGAGTGATTTCACTCATGTTCAGTGGTGTCTCCTTTAAGGGCTAGACTAAATTGATGAAGTTATATTATTAAAAGTTTAGTATAGTGCCTATTCTGACAAAGGTGGATACACACCACACACACGCACACACACACAAATTTATGCATTTCTAACCTAATAAAAAGGCCTACTTTTAATTTCCCCCTCTTACAAAGAAAGAAAACAAATATTTGAGGTGTTTCATGTAATTATAACAAGAACAGTCAATGTATATGTGTGTGTGCATATGTGTGCATGTGTGCATATGTGTGTGCGTGTGTGTATACGTGTGTGTGCATGTGTGTATATGTATGTGTACATATAAAAGTATAAGCCATCGTGTTTTATGGGGGAAAAGAAAATGTATATGTATATATGTTCTTGCTTGAATTACAAAGCAAGCAGCCAGAGTTGTTTTCCTGTTGCAGACAGACACCAAGCCAGTGCAAATGATGAACCTGGAGGCCACGTTCTGCATGGGCAACATCGACAGTGTGAACTGTAAGGTCATAGAGCTCCCCTTTCAAAACAAGCACCTCAGCATGCTCATCCTGCTACCCAAGGACGTGGAGGACGAGTCCACGGGCCTGGAGAAGGTGAGGAGGGACTGTGGGCTGCACCAGCGAGCCCCCTACGTGGCATGGACTGCCCTGGGCGGGGCTGGGAAGGGGCCGCAGCCCCGCCTCACGCCTCACTTGCTCTGTCACCTCCAAGGGTTTGTTCCTCCTTAATGTTCAAAACAGCCAACATTTACCTGGCACTTACAGTGTGCCCAGAACTATAAATTCTCTACGTGCACCATCTCATTAACTCTCACAACAGGCCTAGGAGTTAGAAATGATCACCACAGTCGTTCACCAGCCAGGGAACTGAGGCACAGAAGGGGGGTAGGTAACTGCTCCAGGGTCACATAACTCGTCGGTGGTGTGTAGAATTGAATTTGAGCCCGGGAAGTTGGAATCCGTGTTCTTAACTCTAGACTAGAGTTTCTTATCATTAGCATCTTGCATCAGCTCAGAGCATTGGTTAAACAACTGTTGAGCCAGTACTGATTCGCGATGATCACTCAAGTCCACCGTTTACACTGCGGTTCACTCTGTGTCGTGCATTCTAGGAGTTTTGAAAAGTTCTTTCCATGCACACACATATAGATGAATTTTATTATGCTTCGTAGTTCATACAGGTTATCAGAGGCGCAAGGCTGAAACACGGCAGAGGTTTTACCTACTTGTGAAGGTCATAGCTTCCCCTCCGCTGGCCAGCCTGGTCCTGCGGCCACTGCCCTCCCTCACCCTCCGGCCTCCCTGCTTCCCTCCCCCGGGCCTCGGCCTGGCCAGGGAGAAGGAGGGTGTCCTTGAGGAACCCAGGGGTCACCCGCTGCATTGCCAGTCGCCGCTCAGTGACTCCTCACTCTCTAGGGTTGAGGCAACTTGGCCACAGCTCACCTGCTCCTTCGGCTCTCACTGTGCCTGCTCTGCCATTTGTGCACTGAATTCTCAGTCCGCTCCACTCTTTCACTCACTGTCTTTCTTTTTCACCCTACTTCATGCCTTCATCTCATTTTCTCCATTGGCGATTATTTAGCACTTTACTTACTTAAAACATCCTAATTTTTTTTTTTCCGTATTAAAGTACAGAACGAAAGGAGCAAGTTAAGATTTGCTCGGTGAAGAATTTTATGATGAAACCATTTTATGCTTTATTTCATATCTCTCATTAAAAATGTTCTAACAAAATATTTTGTTGAACCCAATATTTCCAAAACACTATCATTTCAACATGCAATCGATGTAAAAATTATAAACGAGATATTTTACATCCTTTGTCTGTAGTAAGTCCTGGGAATCTGCTGTGTATTTCACAAGGTAGAGCATTTCTCAGTCCTCACGTTCAAGTTTCAGGTGTCCATAGCCATGTAGTGGACATTGTATTGGACGGTACAGGCATAGAGGTTTCCTGTTGGGATGAATGAGTGTTTAGGTTCTATGCAGGTTTAAGAATATAACCTGCTATTTTTTCCAGATTTATTGAAGTATAATTAAATAAAATTGTAAGATACTTAAAGTGTACAATAGGATGATTTGATAAATGTATAAATTATAAAAGGGTTCCTCCCATCCAGTTTATTAACACACGTATCACCTCATATACTTATCTTTTTATCTCTCTCTTTTTTTTTTAAAAAACCAACTGAAATGGATGCATTCATTGCCTATACCCGTAAAGAATGACCACAGACAGTTCAGATCCTCATTCTTAAAAGAGCTCACTTTAGCTTCAATTTGAGTTATTCAATTTTTTTTTTTTAATATATCTTTATTGATTTCAGAGAGAGGGAAGGAGGGGGAGAGAGAGAGATAGAAGTATCAATGATGAGAGAGTCATTGATCGGCTGCCTAGCCCGCAACCCAGGCAAGTGCCCTGACCGGGAATTGAACCCCAATCGCCTGGATCCTAGGTCGATGCTCAACCGCTGAGCCACGCCCGGCCGAGCTGAGTTATGAAGTCTGATGTCATGCCCAGTACATGGAAATTCTGGATTTCCTAGTAGAGAAATCAAAATAAGCATTGGAGAAATATTATGTATGAAAACCCTTCTAATTTTGTATTTATTTCACTATTATTTATGCAACGCCATAATCCACGCATTTGTTTCTATAAAGCTCCTCTGTAGCTTAAAAGAGCTGCCCCCATAAATTTCAGTGCGAAGGGGCCGCAGTTGCAGCGGAGGGTGGAGACCAATGCTAGGCGGGGGGTCTTTTGAAAGAGAAACTGGTCACATACCAAAACTGCAGGGCTGATTTTATTTTTGATGGTCCTTGGGTACTGCTTCGACACTGGGCTCATGTGACACGTGTTTCTCATCATCAGGGCGTTTTGCCATCAGAAATTAAAAAATATATATATCATTTCCTCTCCTTTTTGTTCCTTCAGGTTGAAAAACAGCTCAGCTCAGAGACGCTGCTGCAGTGGACCAATCCCAGCACCATGGCCAATGCCAAAGTCAAACTCTCCATTCCAAAATTTAAGGTGGAAAATACGATTGATCCCAAGGCTAGTCTGGAAAACCTAGGGCTGAAAAGTACCTTTGACGAGAATACATCTGATTTCTCTGGAATGTCAGAGGCCAAGGGAGTGGCGCTCTCAAACGTCATTCACAAAGTGTGCTTAGAAATCAGCGAAGACGGTGGGGATTCCATAGAGGTGCCGGGCTCGCGAATCCTGCAACACAAAGATGAATTCAGGGCCGACCACCCGTTTATTTACATCGTCAGGCACAACAAAACTCGAAACATCATTTTCTTTGGCAAGTTCTGTTCTCCTTAAGTGGCAGAGCCCAGGTTAAGTCCCACCTGACTTTTCTGTACACTGCATCCAGAGAGTCCCTTTCTAAATACGATGCATTAATGCTGCTGGATGAGGAATGCCCTGGTGCTGGCCATATGTAGCCCTCACACTAATAGACCCTTTCTCCCAGTCTTTTCTTTTATGCCCCCTTCCCACCCATCAGAGACAATGCTTTGAATGAAAAGGAAATATATATTCATTATTTGTCATATTATGTAGGGTTATGGGCAGAAATGCAATTTTTCACAAAGAAAATTCTTATGAGGAGGATCTGTAGGATTTTATTCCTGGAGCTTTGCCTTTCTTCATTGGGATACAGAATGTTCCAGACTTTCTCACATCCCCGAAAGACTAAAGGAACTGTGGTTCATGGGATATGCCAAACTTTCCTGGCTCCAGGGAACTTGAGCACATGTTCAGGTTACTGTAGATCCACAGCTCCTTATGCTAAACCCCACGGGACAAATGTTTTCTTCAAACTCTGATTTTTTTGGGCTTTTAGGAAGATAATATGTTGCACAAACTGTATGTTATGGGAGTCCGTTGAAAGAGTCTGAAACAACACCCTCTATATAAATCGATACCTTGATATTTCTGCCATAAAAATGTAGAATATTGACACAAAGTGGATAAAGACTCTACGCGGCCCGTCAGTGACAGGCTTTGCTGACAAGTGGCATATGCCACCACCTCGTGAACAAGCCTCGTTTTCAGAACTTTTTGAGATTTTTGGAATGTTGACTAAGAAATTGCAGGCCTACGGTAGCTGACTTGCAGCCCGTCAAGGGGAAGCTCAGATCTCATGAACAATTCATGTTCACCTTTGATAGGATGACCACCTGGTCATTGGGCTGGGGACAGACCACTGGCTGGGGCTTCTAAGTGACTCAACAAGGTTTTGGATGTTTGGCAACCAGGGTCTTAAAAAACACAGGAACCTTCATGGTAGCCAGTAAGAGAGTTTTATCAGTGTTGAGGGAACTTGTCTCTTTCTAATGTGATTTCTACACCTTTAGAAAATATAACTCAAACTATTGAAGTGCTCATGCTGCTTTGACACATATTTCTCCCAAGTCTGTGGGTTTGGTTACTATAGATAGCTAGCCAGTCACTTGAATTAACAGTAATTTTTAAAGTTGATCTGATAAGTTACCTATAAGTTCACATGTTAATTCACTATCAAAAGAGCACGTTAACTGAAGATTTTGTGACAATCCATCTTCATTTCTTCCTTGTAAATAGGTTCCACTTTCTTCTTGCTCCAAGGGATCAATATAAAATTTCTTTTATGCTCTCGACAATAAAATATTATTAAACTCCGTGTCTTGTGTTTTTCCCCATAAAGTTAGATTTACTATTTTGAAATAGAACCAAACCATCTATTTATAAAGGCACTCCTGTACATAAATGCTTTTTTGGGGGGCCGGGGGGTTGATGTGGAATGAGAAGGAATGAGAATAATTACTGCCCCACCCCCTTGTCTTCCTCTCTCCCCACCCCCAGCCCTTGCTTCCTCCTCTATCCCCTCTCCTCCTGGGTGTGTGTGTGTGTGTGTGTGTGTGTGTGTGTGCAGGGGAGCCCAGAAGGACTTTCAGCTACATGCAAGTGTATCATGGAGTGGAGGCCTTTGGGCCCAGCCTCAAAATGTAATTTCATCAGGTAAGCTGTATATGCTTGAAATGTTTTCTTGTTAAGTACATTTTCCTCAATGTCATGTGCATTTGTTTTAAATTACTTATGGTGTCCCTGAACTGAATATTGCACATAGCCCTTTCCCTGTCCCCACAGTGAGCCTAAATAGAATGCGTCCCCCCTTGCAATAAATGTTGAGGACCCAAAGTGACAAGAGCCCCATATTCGAGGAAGAAAAGACCATTTGTGAGCAATGGCTGGGAGTGGCCCAAACCAGGATTTCCCACTCTTGGCTCCTTACCGCCCTTCTCTAGGCTGTGAAATAGGAAGTAGGAAGGACTGAAAAAGCTCAGTGAGTCTTTAGGGGAGGGGAGATTAGTGCCTCTTCAAGCCAAGTGTTCATGGAGCCTACAGCCTCTCTCCTGGAGTGTAGAAAGCACTGAGATTTTATATTAGCTCTTGCCTAGGATAGCCTAGCCCAGGGGCTTTCAACACGGAGAACAGCCTCGAGAGGGAGCGGAGGGTCCCTGCTTGCTTTCACTGCAGTGAGGTGTGCAGGCAGCCAGGCTTGGTGATTCTGGGACTCTGCTCCAAAGGTCTGCCTGGTGAGGGGGTGGGGTCTCCAAGGGCCCCACAAGAGCACCCCAGGAAGAAGAGGATGTTTGGCACCTCTCCCACGGGATACTGGATTCCAACTGCACCAGTCAAGTAAGGTTCTTAGGGCTCACCTCTCCTTCCTTCCCTGGCCCCACAAGTCGGGTGCTGCGGGAGGAGAGGAAGGGCAAGGGGGTAAATGGTGGGGAGCCACCTCCGCCTCTGTCCCCCTGTTGGGTAGCGAGTCCGAATCAGACCCCAACTGTGGTGGATGCAGTGTCCCAGTCAAAGGAATGATGTTCTGGGTTAAGAGAATTCTGGGCTTTTTCATTTCTGAAAATGTCTTTGTTGATACATGAAAGTACCTAGAGGGTATTAGTTAGGGGATTTGGTTCAGGGGAGGGGAGGGCACTGGAAACGAAGATTTAGCTGCCTTTTCCCAGCACCCTGCCAGTCCAGTTCACCAACGAACTGGTTACAAGTTCATTATCTCATCACATCAAATATATGAGGAAGAAACAGTGACCTCGTCTTATAAACAAGGATTCTGAAACAAAGGACAGTGATAGAGTCCGCTCAAGGTCACAGAGCTAACGGAAGCTGATGGCTGGGTTTGACCTCAGGCCGACTGAGCCCAGAGCTAGAGCTCTGACCTCTGTACTCGATGCCAGCCTCTTCCAACTGGCACTGACCCTCGACAGGCTGCTACTGAATGCACCTGGAAGAATCCCTCTCTCCTCCATGCCGTCTCCGTTTTAGGATTCCCAAAGATCTGCCTCATTCTGGCAGTCCTTTTTTGTCAGCCAAAACATCCCTAGCTGTAACTGGCCCGATTAGGTCCATTTATAAGCATCTCTTATGGGCCAGGTGTTGTGTGTGAAGGTGCTTTATGGATATTACTCCCTTTCCTCATTCTCACAATAGCCCCAGAGTTAGAGGCTGTTTCATCTACTCATCTATTTCAGGAGGAAATGTGGGCTCAAAGGAGTTGATAAAGGATATAAATTGGTAAAGAGCAGGAATTGGCTGCAGCTCTCTCTGACCCCAAAGCCCACGCTCCTTGTACTCTGACTTATGGCCTTTGGTCCACGCACTGGGGCAGGCTCCTCTGGATGGTTTTGCTTAAACTCTTGTATCACATGCCCCCTTGGCCACTCAATGTTGCCAAAGCAATCAGTCTGTCCCTGTCCTTCAGGAAAAAACAGGAGACAAAAAGCCTTGGCCCTGTGCTCGTCCCCAGCAGGACACCAGGAGCAGCAGGTTCTCTTTCCTGCCCAGAGGGAGTGCCCAGGATACCTGGTGGTCACTGGCAGATATCAAATTTCTGCCTCAGGTGGCCGGGCCCAGAAAGCACTGAGGAGGAAGCGGGATTTTAGAGGGGCCTCAGCCTCAGTCCGATGTGGATGGGCAGAGAGGGGCCGGGAGCCCACAAGGCAGAGGCATGTGCTTGTTGGTTATGGAAGGAAAACAAGGTGATGCACACACGGCTCAGAGTGGTTTGGGGCCTGAAGGAAAAGCAGGAGCTCAGACTGAAACTGTGGCTGCGTGATGGGCACTGGGTGTCCAGGTGACCTAATGACGACAGTGTGCAAAGCTGTGCTGTTAATGTCAGAGCTGCCTTGCAATGGTCGTATCAAAAATGGAGCTATAAAAATATTACATCAATCTATTATCTATCTATCTATCTATCTATCTATCTATCTATCTATCTATCTATCTATCATCTATCTCTCTATCTCTATCATCTATCTATTATCTATCTATCTATCTATCTATCCATCTATCATCTATCTATGCACACACACACATACACATGCACACACACGCCTACTTCAGAACGGGATTACTGAGTCACACATGATGCAAATACTCAGCTTTGGTAAATACTGCCAAAGAGTTTTCCAAAGTGGTTTTCCTTAATTATTATTATTAATAATTACTATTACTTGTATTTTTCATTGTTGGTTACTACTTTATCTCTTATTATTAAATAATTATTAATTTTACAATTAATATTATCTTAAAACAATTATTATTAATGAATTTTTCCAACTCTGAGTCTTATTGACGCCCCTGGCAGCATAAGACGTTGTAAATTCAGCTTCCACAGCAGTCCTACGAGGATTGTTTGTGGTGAAGGGAACTGAGTCGAGAGACATAAAGAAACCTGCTAAGCACACACGGCTGAGTTGTGTAGTTAGGATTTAAGCTCAACTCTGACTCCAGAACTCACACTTTTAATCTCTATGTATTTGATTTCATTGCATTTTTTTACTTGGTGAATTAAACCATTTACCTACAAGGGCAGATTTCCTTCTGTTTATGTTAAAAATGAAATAGTATGTTAAATACAAGACAATGAATGTAGATAAAGATAAACCTCAGCTAAATATTTATAGAATAAGTGAACTTTCGAGGAGGGTTTACTTTTCAAACATTTCTGGTTAAGTCTAATATGTTCTTTGCAACTCTGAACTTTTCCCTCAGGGGTCCTATTTAGTCACCTGTATGCCAAGTGCTATTCTGAGCAGATCTGAAAGGCTTCCCTTTTTTAGTGTTAGGTCTTTGACCTGAAATCGCCTCAACAACATTCTTGCCCTCCACTCCACCCCACTGATGGGAAAGATTTAGGAGATGGGCGTTGCCCTGTTCAATGGCTTCCTCCCTGTCACTGTCCTCTGGACAATAACAGCTGCCTCGGCTATTGAGGGCTTTCAAGTGAGGGGATCAAAGCGTCCTACTGACAGTAAAAGACTGTTCTTGATCCAAGTCCTAGAACAGAAGAAGTAGATGGCCTCACTCTCCACTGGAGACAATAGATGCAGGGTGTCCCTAGAATGTCTCACTGCCTTCGAGGACACTAGCCAGACCCCTGTAGCCTCCCCAAGGAGACTTCCTTGTCTGTCCCATAAGCCCATAGAGCAGAGAGTGGAGTGGTGGTTGCCAGGGCCTGGGAGGAGGGGAAATGGAGGATTGTTGTTCAATGGATATAAAATTTCAGTTATGCAAGATGAATTCGTTCTAGAAATCTGCTGTACAACATTGTGACTATAGTTAACATGAGGTATTGTAAAAATTTATTAAGCAGGTAGATCTTATGTTAAGATCTCTTACCACAATTAAAAAAGAAGTAGATGGAACTTAGGAGCAAAGAAGCAGATGAGAAATAGGCCACTCATATGAAGACATAACCACCCAGGGAGGGGGCTAGTGCACAGGGAAACCTCTACGTGTGCGGAACACCTGCAGCAGCTGGGACTGTTGCAATGAGCATCCTGCTTGCTGTGATGGTGAGCTGAGGCCTAACTTGATTCCTTCTTTTCACCCTTGCCTCCTCCTCAGTCAACCCACAGGCCAAAAGGGGTCATTCCCACACTATCTCTAGTTCCATCACTTCTTAAGGGGGACTCGTGGATGAAGGGAGTTTTATGCCTAAAGACCAAAGCTTGGATATGGTGGGAGCTGGGCACTTTGCACCCTGCGCCTGAATAAACAGGCTTTGTTTACTTTTTCAAGAGGCTGCTGTTGATTGCAAAATTTGATCAAACACTGAAGGCAGGTTGTGGGGTGCTGGGATGAGCTGTTTTCCCTGCCCTTAATTCTCCTTCTCTGCTGACTTAGGGGAAAGCAGGAGCTAAATGGGCAGGGTAATTAGGTCAATGGCTTTCCAGGTGGAGAACAGGTTTTCCCATCCTTGGGGAGGCACCACTGCCAACCTGCTGGCTGGAGTCATCCATTCTGAGCTGGCAAATGTAAGCCCATCCTGAGCATTGTTCGCTTTGCTACAACATTCCTCCAAGTGGAATCACAAGCACCAATAATGGAGTCACAATAGGCAGCAAATGAACTTGACGTTTCTGTTTTCAATAATCTTAAGCACATCAGGCTCCACAATGAATTCTTTCTTCATTAAATAAAATTACATAGGACACCCAATAGGTAAAGCTTTGCCTATCTACCTATGAAACGACCTAACTAGGCTATCATTTCCTATTTTCATCTTGTCCACAAAGTTATCAAGAAAATTTTCATCAACCTAATCTTTCATTTATTCATTAATTCATTGGATAAACATTGTGTTGAACACTGTCCA